TGGTGGTAATTTGTTCAAGAAACCATTTGATTAACACAGAGGGCAGTGTTTAGTTTCCTGCTCTGGTTTTTAGAAATTTAAAAAAAAAAAAAAAAACCCTGGCTGGCCTTCCCTGGTGGTGCAGCAGGTTAAAGCACAGCACAAAGAAGCTTAAGCCACTTCCGAATGAGTTTGATTCCTGTCTGTCCCGGAGGAGATCCACATGGCACAGCAGACCTCTACTGACCCGCCCGCTGCTTGATATGCCTGTTTTGCTCCCCACTCTGTCTCTGGTGAATCCTCTCACCCTCCACATCTCTGGCCTGTACCCCAGTTCTGTACGAATAAATAAATCTTTAAAAAAAAAAAACCCAAAAAACTTGCAAATAGCTATATTCTTTCCTATTGTTGGATGTTTATAATCCAGTCCAACTAGCCATTTTCTTTCTTTTTTTTTTTTTTTTTACTTGGATGGACAACACTGATTAGCTCTGAGCTTCCTAAAATTTTAATTGTTGTGACTATAGGTGTTCTTGAAGCGGCTCACTTTGTGAAGCTTCATTGTGTGGCTTATCTGTGCTCTTTGCATTTCTGTTAGCACCTTTAGTTTCTGTCCATCAGCTCAGCTCAGATTATGAGACCAAGTAATAGCACCCAGTTTGACTTTCTTTGTAGTGGGAACTTGTTTAACTTTTTTTTATATTTGGAGAGTGGCAGAGCTAAGTATAGTAAGTTGCAGAATGGATTCATGTTCTGTCTCTTTAGATTCAAGCTGATATGAATCTTCTTTGAGGACGCTGATCATTCATGCAAAATGGAGTTGTGATTGCATACTGAAATTAGATGAAAACAGGTGTATACAGCTGTGTGGTCCTCCATTTTTTGGCCTTGGACAAGTCACATTTTGTTTTTCCATGTATTACCTGAAAAATGGGTACAGTACCTACTTTATGGAATGCTTTAAAGTTTAGACATTATGCGTATGGCATCTGACACAGTTGCAGTGAGTAACCACTCATAGTTAAAATACAAATATTAACGCTTTTAATCTAGTAGTTTTAGACTTCATTGCTTTTAAACAATTTTGACCAAAAGTAGTTTTAGTTTATTGGTCTCCAGATTATTTCTGAGAGCCAAAGTAATCAGAAAACGGCCAATTAACTTGGATTTTTTTGTTATGATTTTTATAGGCCATCAATTCAACTTTCAAAATGTAATTAGAAAGTATATACTGAAAATTAACTGGTCATTTCATGATTAATGTAAAAATATTTAAATGGACCATGGAAAATAGTACCTTAATGAAGGGAAACAGGTTTTCTGTGCAGTGTGGAGCCAGTTCAAGTTCTTATTTAGGGTTATACCACAGATTATGATTTTCAAAGAGGAGTAAGATTGGACAAATTAAATCTTATTTTCTCTTTTTTTGCAGCATGGTTCTCAAGGATATTTAATATTCCTTAATTTCTCTTGACTTAACTGTTGGTGATGATGAGGATTCCTTTTAGAACCCTGTAAGCTCAAAATACACCTTTCCCCTAAGTGATATCAAAATCACTTGTATTTTACCCGTATGGAATGAACTTTCATATTTGTATCCACTGTATATCTGCCTCTTTTCAAGCCCTGTGTCAAGAGAAGCAATCCTTTTCCTCATGTCCCTATTTCCTGGAATGGTTCTACCGTATCTTTGTCTTCGATGACCTGGGACTCTTCCTTAACTCTTTCTTTGCTTTGAGTTGGCTGTATTCAGTGTAGATAACATCTATATCCAGTCTACCTCAGACAGATTCATGTCTTCTCTTTCTTGCATTGCTTAGCTTCTGTCACAGTTCATAACATCATCTCGTGCCTGGATTATTACACCTTTGATATCTATCTCATCCTCTCATCCTGTTCTTTTGGAGAGAGCCAAGTTGTACTCAGAAACGTATGCTAGTCTACCTCTTATAATGCCTGTGTAACTTCTCATTGCATGTAAATCAACCCCAACCTTTTACTTGGCATGATTCACAAAACCTTTTATATTCTGACTTCTGCCTGCATATATACGACATTATTACTAATTCACCTTTCTCCTTCCTAGCCCCACTTAAAAGTCCCTGACTCACTTGTATAGTTCATTATTGTTTAGTACTTGTGGATTCCTACAGGAGGGATATCCTCTTACAACCACTTACATTTCCCTGGTACATGTTTCCACCCTGACTTCCTTGCCTGAATAATGAGCACTTGTCATTTTAAAGTAGCTCAAATGCCAATCTAATGACCCTCTAATTTTCCTAATCTGCAGTAAGTGTCTGTCCTGTCCTTTTTAAGCAACATGCTCTTGACCTACGTGCACTATCCACTCGCTCAGCTCCAGGAAGGCAGACTTTATTCATGTACCTACTACTTGACACCTTGGACTTGCCCATTAAATATAGACCAGTAGACTGAGTGCTTCAGTGCTTGCATTGTAGAAGTAAATGATATTTTAAAAAAATGTTACTGAGAGATCACCAATTTAAGGTTTATAAATCTTGCATTCCACTGCATGCATTTTACAATATTCAGATCGTAAAGCTACAACTACTATCTAACTCCAGATATTTTCATCATCCCCCCACCCCCAAAGAATCCATTAGCAATAGCAGTCCATTGTCTCCTTCAGCCCTCCTTAGCAACTACTTACGAATTTTCTGTCTCTCTGGGTTTTCCTATACCGGAAATTTCATATAAATGGAGTCACACAATTTGGCCTTTTTCATTTAATACAATGCTTTCAAGAAAGGTTTGTATTTACCTGTAGTACTTCATTTCTTTTCATGACTTAATATTCTGCTGTATGGACACATCGCATTTTGTTCATTAGTTGCTGGGCAATTGAGTTTATATTTTTTGACTTGTGAAAATATTATTCACAATATGAGCATTAATTTATAACTTTGTCAGCAACCATGTGATTTTATTTCTTATGGGTATATTCCTTACAATAGTGTTGCTGGGACATACAACTTTGTTATTTTTTTTTTTTGAGTATACACCATTTTATATATTTTTAAAAAGATTTATTTATGCATACGAAAACTGGGGTACAGGCTAGAGGTGTGGAGAGAGAGGAGTGAAAGGATTCACCAGAGATGGAGTGGGGAGCAGAACAGGCAGATGTATTGAAATACACTGCTGCTGGGAGCAGCGGGCTGGTCAGAAGAGGTCTGCTGCTCCATGTGGGTCAGCTCCTTGGCCTGGAATGGTGCTGAGGTAGCTATGGACAGCTTCATAGTGCTGTGCTTCCTAGTGCTGTGCTTTAACTGTTGCATTACCAGGGAGGGGCCTATTTTACATTCTTGCTAGCAATGCTGAAAGTTCCAAATTTTCATACCCTCACTAACATTTTTACTGCATGTGTTTTTTTCCTCATAACCATGGGTGAATGTGAAAGGTCATCTCACAATGGCTTTAATTTGCATTTCACTAATAACAAACTTGGAGCTTTGTTTTGGGTGTTTTATCTGTCATTTCTGTATTTTCATTGGAGAAATGACTACTCAAATTCTCTGCCCATTAAAGTTTCTTTTTCTTTTAGTTATTGATCTGTAGAAGTTCTTTATGTATTCTGGTATTATTAGGCTTTTGTCAGATACACAATGTGCTACAATCAGTATTTTAGGAAGCAAGTATAGGGCTGACATGGATGAACCTTGAAAATTTACGCTAACTGAAAATGCCACACTTAGGGTTCCACTTATTGGAAATGTTCACAATAGGCAAAACGCTTACAGAATGAAAGTAGATGAGCAATTGCCAGGGGCTTGGAGGCAAGGGAGAATGGAGATTATTAATGGATACAGGGTTTCATTTTGGATGATGGAAATGTTAATAGTATAGTATACTATACTATAGTATAGTTAATAGTATAGTTAATGGAGATTATTAATGGATACAGGGTTTCATTTTGGATGATGGTTGTACAACCTTGTGAATATTCCGCAGACTCCTACCTGCACAATTTAAAAGTATGCTTCTGAGTTTTATCAATAAAATTTTAAAACAGAAGTGCTGAACTAAACAGGTTTGTATCATTTTTTAATATAGTTGGAAAATTTCCCAATGGCCAGGGTAGGCTGCCAGGCCTTTGAGTACTTTTATCACTGGCAAGAAAGGACTGAGCGTGCTTGATGTGCTTTCTGTCCCTACCTCCTGCTGTCTAATGTGTTATGGTGCTGCTTCACTTTAAAAGTCCCTCTTTGCATGTGCAAATATTGACAGTTAGATTGAACTTAAATTTTGTTGTCATTAGTTTGATTGGGATCAATCATTACTTTTTTTTTTTCCTTCAAAAATACAATGTCTTCCTCTTAGAATCATACGTACTGAAAACTATGTTTGCATTTGGGTAGGTAAACATTTGGAGTTTTGATTATAGTTTGAATATCTTTTGCAGAAGACTAACTTTTGGGTTGGAATAGTGATGGTGAATTATAGGATTTAATATTAGGAAGTAAAAAGAATACCTTTTGGTACAGGTTTAATTTTCTTACAATAAGCATCCAAAATTTAATAGTCACTTCTATAATAACCAACTTTTTTGTCAATTTGGGTTTTTCTATATGAAATTTCACTGAAATGTATCTCAGAACTTTCTAATATTACTAATAACACTTCATATTTCTGTATAGAAAAATGAATTTCCACAAAAATTAAATTTGGGGGTGAATTATTGTTTTTAGCTAGTGAAAACTGAGTAACAGCAGACACTTCTTTAGAATGTCTGATACTTAAAGTTCTGTCTCTAAGGAGTCAGGTAGTTCTATTATGATGTGGTTCTTGGATTCTGATAGAAAGTTCTAGGCAGTTAGGTCTAGCACTCCCCATTTTGTGTTGTGGTTAGCAACTTGTTTCTACTTGTGTTTTCTCCCTATCATTTGTCTGCTGTTCCCCTTCCCACCCTTTTTTTTCTTTTTCTTTTCTATTTTTAACTTCAAACCAGAACTGGGAGAGTTTATAAAATAGTATTTTGTGATTTGTTTGATTTACAGCATAAGCTGTAACCATGACTACTGAAGTAGGCTCCACTTCTGAAGTGAAGAAAGACCCTGATCAGTTAGGAGCAGATGCAGCAAAGGAGAAATCTAAAGAAACAGCAGAAAATCAGCAGAATCAGTCATCAGAGTCATCCCCTACAGCTGAAAACCAAAGTACTCCACGTCGTCAGAAGAAAGAGAAGGAGCCATCAGAGAGCAGGGGTATTTCTCGATTCATACCCCCATGGCTTAAGAAACAGAAGTCATACAACTTAGTAGTGGCCAAAGATGGAGGTGATAAAAAAGATCCCGCTGAAGCCGTTGTGGAAGAGCAGGTTTTAGATAAAGAGCAGTCTCTTCCTGAAGAGGAAAGACAGGCCAAGGGTGATGCTGAAGAAACGGTTCAGAGAAAACAGCAGGAGGTTAAGGTTGATGTTAAAGAAGAAAAACCTTCTGTGAGCAGCGCTGAGACACAGGTATGTTTGCGAAGTGATGGGAAAGGAAAGATTGATGGTGTGACCACATTAACAAAAAGGACTTGTTTTGATCCATTTCCACTTTTCTTACATTAAAGAATACATTTTAGCTTAAGATAATTTGGAAGATGGGTCTTGGATTAGTCTTCCAAAAGCCTCTATTATTTAGGAAATGGTCAAACTAATAAAATGGCAAACTATATGTACAAGGCATAAGAAAATCGGTGTTTTTAAAAACCAGTTGCTGTGAGAATTCTGCCACCTCTTCTTTTAAATGTAAGCATAAAATACTTTTTATTTAGTTATTTACTGCGTTGTAAGATGTAGACTCGGCAATGTGTGCATTTTGCTTGCCTAATGAAACCTAGGTTTTGATGTCATCTGAGATGACATTTGGGAGTTTTATTATTTGAAATGATATTTAAATTGTAATTGCCATGATGTAGTTTCTTTAACTCATTTAAATGCTGAAATGACCATACTGATAAAATAAGAAAGTAGGCAGTGGATTGTGGGGAAGAAAGGTATGGGGAAAATAGCCTTCCTGGAAGAATTTTAGTCTTAAAAATCTTAGATTTACAGAGTTCATAACAATCAGTTCTCAGCAAAGGTTTTTCCTTTTAGTGTGTTGTCTTCTGTAAATTGGTCAACTTCAGTGTTACTTTCCTCAACAGCCTGCTGAAGAAGTAAAGGAGAAAGAGGAGGAGAAGGTAAAGGAAATACAGGACAAGTCAGAAGGGGAAGCCGCAAAAAGGGAGACAAAGGAAGTGCAGACCAATGAGCTGAAAGCAGAGAAGGCCCCTCAGAAAGCTGCCAAGAAGACCAAAACCGTGCAGTGCAAGGTAGTACTTCTGGACAGCACTGAGTACACCTGCGACCTGGAGGTGAGCCCAGTACCCGCGTGGGCATCACGTGGCCTTACTTGAGGTGTGGATTGACAGTGAATGTATGGTCTGCCCTTACTTGTGGTCTGGCCCAATAGTATGTTTTTGTTTGTTTGTTTGCTTGTTTTTTTAATATTTATTTATTTATACATACAAGAATTGGGGTACAGGCCAGAGATGTGCAGGTGGGTGATGGTGAGAGGATTCAGCAGAGACAGAGGGGGAAGCAAAACAAGCAGATTGACTGAAATACACTGCTGAGGGGAACAGTGTGTGGGTAAGGAGAGGTCGGCCACGCCATGTGGGTCATCTTCCTGGCCAGGGATTGAACTCATACTGCAGTGGCTTCGGATAGCTTCATTGTGCTGTGCTTTAGCCCTTTGTGCCACTAGAGAGGGCCCGCAATAGTATGTTTTCATGTGATACCAAGGTGTTATCAACTGGCTTGTCTCAGTTTTTATTAGAAGTGCCAGAAAACAGAAGATGGGTGTCATGACAAACAATATTTCCTGCCCATTAGGGGTAAGTAGGGCCTGGGTTCTGCCAGTCTGCACCAGTTAGTATGTTTCTGGAAGCGCATTAAAGATTTTTAATATTACCGCTGACTGTAAGTCTTTCACTATAGGAGAAATGCTAGGGCTAGGTTGACATTTCAGCATAATGAAATTTCAGAAGATTAACCCCAAATGCTTTTATCCTGAGACAGATAGACTTAAATCTAACTCATTTATTTAGTTGCCTGTAATTAGAAAATGTTAATGATTTGCACAGCATATAATGCTCCAGCACTGAAGCTTACTGAAGCCAATATAATTTTTTTTAAAGATTTATTTATTTATTCGTACAGAACTGGGGTACAGGCCAGAGATGCGGAGGGTGAGAGGATCCACCAGAGACAAGAGTGGGGAGCAGAACAGGCAGATAGGCGAAGTACACTGCTGAGGGGAGCAACGGGCGGGTCAGGAGAGGTCTGCCGCGCCATGGATCTCCTCCGGGGCAGGGGGGGATCGAACTCATGCAGAAGTGACTTAAGCTTCTCTATGCTGTGCTTTAACCCCCTGCGCCACCAGGGAGGGCCTGCACCTTTTATTTTTATCAGTCAAAAGAGTGTGTTGCTTTTCATAGCTTTATTTTATTAGCATGACATGTACTAGTAAATATTTACTGTAGCACTGTGAAGAGCTTTGCAAGGATTATCTCAAGTTAATACATACAATCTATTAGTATGAGTCATGTATTATCATAGCTATTCCCAGTGTTACAGGAGGAATGTATGGCATAGGAGAGGTTAAGTGACTTGCCCCAAATTTTCCATCTAGTTAATTGTTGAATAAAATTCCAGGCCTAGTAGTTTGATTCTGGAGGTTATAAATCTGGAAGGAAAAGACAATTCTGAACTTAAGTCAGTTGCTCTGTATTTAAGCCCATGCCCCTCATTTCTCCCACCTATCCTAGTAGTTCTAGCCAGCTTTTGAAACCAATTTGGAGATAACTTAGGTGATTGCAAGTCACTTCTCAAACTTTGTGGGCCAAACTGGGTCCAAAAACTGATTGCATCTATAAACTAGAGGATTACTTAGATGATCTAGAAGGCCTTTTTCATCCTGAAGTTCAGTATTATCACCAGACCTGAAGACTGATTACTGTTTTTGTTTTTTAGAATTCAATATATTTTGAAACTACAAAAATGTAGAAATATAAATAACTATATATTCATCCTACAGTTTTAGCCAGATGTGGAAATGTGACTTTTGTTTACATTAGGTTATATAATATATTAAAACAAAAAATAATCGAAAATATGGAGAGTGTTCTGTAATCTGTACAACTCATGAGCAATGCAGAAACCTAAATAAAATTTCTAAAATAGTGCTCCACCTCAGGATATTCTCCTAATTTCTAAGACTGAAACTAGGATTTTTTTTTTTTTAAAGATTTATTTATTCATTCATATGGAACTGGGGTACAGGCCAGAAATGTGGAGGGTGAGAGGATTCACCAGAGACAGAGAGGGGAGCAGAACAGGCAGATCGACGAAGTACACTGCTGAGGGGAGCAAGGGGTGGGTCAGGAGAGGTCTGCCTCTCCATGTGGATCTCCTCCGGGGCAGGAGGGAATCGAACTCATGCGGAAGTGGCTTTAGCTTTTTAATGCTGTGCTTTAACCCGCTGTGCCACCAGGGAGGGCCGAAACTAGGAAAATGTGATGAACAGGTGGTGAAAGGCAAATAGCTAAATTTAGCATATTTATTTCTGTAGCAACTGAGGGATCTTATACTTTGTAATGTTAATACTGTAATTGCATTAATGGTTTCTAATATAGTCTTTGAATTCCAGAAATAAATTCTACTTGTTCATGATGATTTGGCATTGATTTTTAATTATTTTTCAGATTTTGCTTGTTACCTTTAATTTTTCTATATGAAATTTTCCTTATCAGATTTTGTTCTGGGGTATATATATGTAGTATAGATATGGGATATATATACACACACACACACACACACACATACATGGGATATATATATACACACACACACACATGTATTATACACACACACACACATTAGTTTCATAATCTGCTTCCCTTATAATAATCTCTTGAAGAGCTTGCTAGGTTAGGAAATTTTTTTTAATTCTGGTAGAATTTGCTTTTAAATAGTTCTCATAGGTGAGTCAAATAGGGTTGGAGGATAGGTTTTTAAAAATCATTCATTTGCTTTATTTATACTTAAATTTTTTTTCTTGAGTCAGTTTTAATAATTCATATTTTTAGGGGCCTGGTAGTGCAGGGGTTATTAAAGTCTCAGTGCAATCAAAGGATCCACAGCTACTTGGGCATGTGTTTGATTCCCCAGCCAGGGACATAATCCACATGGCACAGCAGACCTCTCCTGACCGCCTGCTGCTCCCCTCAGCAGTATATTTCAGTCATACTGCTTGTTCTGCTCCCCACTCTGTCTCTGGTAAATCCTCGCACCTCTGGTCTACACTCCAGCTCTTATATACATAAATAAATAAAAGTTAATCTTAAAAACAACAACAACAACACATTGCTAATGGGAACTTTCCATTTCATCTAATTTGACAAATTTATTGGCATAACATTTTTGATACTATTTTCATTTGTGGATTTGACTTTGATTCCTGTTTTATTGCTGATACTGTCTTTTCTTCATGATCTTTCTTGCTGTAAAGTTACCATTTAAATTTTCTCCAAAGGAACAACTTAATTTTATCTATATTTCCATAGTTTCTTTTTTATTTTGTAGTGGTTGCTTTTGCTTTTTAATTTTTTTTTTTTTTTACTTTGGGATTACTGTTCTTTTTTAATTAAGTCAAAAACTAGAAAAATAATTTGATGCTTTCATGACTGATTTTAAGAACAGTGTATAAGGTATCTATCATTGATCGCACACATTTTGAAAATAGGGCTGTCATTGCCATTCAGCTTTTAATATTTCTTCCTTTCACTGTGGCTATTTTTGACTATTGAAGTTTTCATAGGTGAGATTAGATTTTTGAAGTGTGTATGTGATTTATCACAAGAGGAGACTTTCTTTTCATAGCTTGTTTTATTCCATTGTGATCAGAATGAGGTCTAAATAAGAGAATATTACATTTGTTAAGACTTTGCAGCCTAATATATAGCCAGTTCTTATAATAGTTCCCTTGGAGTTTAGAAAAACACAGTTACTCCATTGTTGGTGCAGGTTTCCTGATCTTTCTTTTTGGCCAGATCAATTTGTGCCTCAAGTCTGTATCTCTGTTGTTAAACTGCTTAGTTTATCAATTAATGAGAAGTGTTAATATCTCTGTCTATGGTGGCTGGTCTTTGTGTTTCTGTAAGTCCTAAAGTAGCATGAAATTCACATGCCGTTGTTACATGATGTTATTTTAGTACTACTAATTTCATCTAGACTTGTTTTTCCTTTGCCTTTGAATTTATATTCCTGTGTCTTGGAGTTGTTTTTTAAAATCTTATTTGAAGATTCTGCCTTAACTGAGTGCATGGCATTTATTGCATATGATTACTGATACATATGGTTATTGTCTACCATTTAATTTTAAGTTTATTATTTTTCTTTTTCCCCCTCTTTTATGGTGGTTATTTTCGGAGATTAAGTGTGTTGTAGTCATTTGACTAAGCAAGTAATATTAATCACTATGCTCACTTCTTTCTTTTACCATGTTGTTGAGCGTTTGTTTGGTGTGTGATATCATTTGGGGGGGGTACAAAATAAAGCAATTTCTTATCTCCGTTACTGGTTGTAACTCTCCTGCTTACTAGAAGTCAAATTACACACATTGCTTGTACACATTGCTTGAAACAGATTTGAGATGAGAAATTATCCAAAGTTACAAATAGTAGCTTCATCCTTTAATTCACCAAGACTTAAATTGATTTAAAAGACAGATAATTTTTCAATTTTATCACTATTAACTTATAGGTTGTCTTTTTTTTAGCTAATAAGGGATAAAGTAGCATGATATTTATCAACTTCTGAGGATGATCTATAAATTAGAATTAAACTTAGAAACACATAAGTGTTGAAAAGACCCTTTTTCCTTTCAGGGAAAAAGCAAAATGAAAGTTAACTAGAATTTAATGATGTTCCATAACAGATTTTATTGTAAGTTGTATTCCTATTTTGATGAATTTTATCAATTTATGTTGTCCACCTTTCCTTCCCAGGTGGGTTCTTTGCTTGCTTTTTATCAATAGTATGGTCTGATAATCATCGGGCTTGCTGTTATTTCCTCTTTGAGAGCTGATACCGTCACGTGGTTTGCACACTCATGTTGCCTGGTTCCAACACTGACCTTAGACAGATTGGGTGACATGCTGATGCAGTTTATCTGTAGTTCTGTAGCTCTGTACCGGAAATGGGTGTCTGAGGACTGTTTGGGGGAAGTTTCTTGTGGGAAACTAGCTATTAATGACCTTGGGAGCATTCAAGGAAGATGAATGCAAAGTGGGAGATAGTTGTGATTTATTTG